GCGGCGGGCACGCGGCGCAGGCCCGGCCGGGCGCGGGGGCCGGCATGGCGCTGGGTGTCCCGGGCACGCACGGCTCTGCCCGCGCACGGCGGCTCCCCGGAGCGCTCTTCCGAGCCGCGCGCTGCCACAAGGTCACGGAGTTCTCTGAAAGGGGATGGAAAGGACAATGAAGCGGGCCCGGGACAGCGCCACGGGGCACGGTCACACCGATGTCGCCGTCCGGACAGAGGGACACCGGCACGGCGCTGGCACCGCCATGGGGAGGCCCGGCCCGGCGCCCTCTCCGCGCCCTCCTCCCAGCCCGGGGTGAACCTGCTCCTCACCAGCCCCCCGTGCCCGCGGCCCCGGGACCCTCCGGGCGCTCCGAACCCCCCGGGCCCGCCCGGCCCGGGACCCCCGCACCCCCGGCCCGCCCGGCCCCTACGAACCGGCGCCCGCAGCGACGCGGCTCTCCCGCGCCCCGCCCCTCGCCTCCCATTGGCTGCTACCGCGCGAGCCCCGCCCAGAGAGGCGGGGCCTCATGGCTGCCGCCAATCCGCGCACCGAGCCTGCCCCCACCCTCTGCCCGGGGATCCGCGTTAACCACGCCCCGCCTCCCCGCCTCGCGCACTTCGCCTCGCCATTGGATAGAAGCGCTGTCCCTCAAGACAGTTGGGTGTGCTGATTGGTCCGAAGCGGCGGGGGTGGGCTGCGGGGAAGTGAAGCGCGCGCTACCATTGGCTGCGCCGAGGCCCCGCCCCAAGGTCAGGGAGGAGAGCAGCGATCGCCGGGCAACGGCGGAAGGCGGGCGGGAGCGGCTCGGGGAGCGAGGGGCCCGGGACCCCGCGCCACCCCCGGCGGGGACAGCCGCCGCTCCCCGGGCCGGGACCCCGCTTCTCCCCGGGCCGGGACAGCCGCCGCTCCCCGGGCCGGGACCCCGCTTCTTCCCGGGCCGGGACAGCCAGGGAGACGCGGCCTCCCAGTCCGCAGGAATGGCGGGCGCTGAGGGCAGCCCCGCCGTGCCCTGGCGCTGCCGTGAGGGGAGTCCAGGAGCGCTGGCTCTCCCAAGTCCCGCAGGAGATGAAGCCAGCCACGGTCAGGCTGCCGCCAGCTCTGCTGCTGTTGCAGGGCACCCACTCCGTGCCAGCGCTCTGCTGGCTCCAGTGCAAAGCAGCCTCCAGCCCCAGAAGCAACAAGGCAGGCTGGAGTCAGAGGTGGAGAGTGAGACTGATGTCAGTGCTGAGCAGGCAGAAAAGTGAGAGCAGCAGCAGGGAGGGTCCCCAGCTTGGTTCAGGCCTCTGCATCAACAGCTCTGGCCTGAGCTGGCACCAGTGACACTGGACAGGCTGGATCTGCAGGGAGGAAACAACCGAACGCTTCCCCCACCTCATTTCATTCAGATTTAATGTGGTTTGGGTTTTTTTTTACATGTGAGCACCAGCTCCAGCAGTAACAGAGCAGCTTTTGCTCTCATGCTGGGCTGGATAGCTCCGGCAGAACAAGAGGACACGGCAACAGCAAAGCACCAATGTGAGAGGGAATCACGGAACAAAATGCAAACAACACATTTGTATTTAACCAACATTGTCCTCATGTGTAAATAGCAAGGAAGTGCCAGTTCTGACCTCCTGGAAGGCCTTGGTGACAGCCTGGGCCAGTGTGGGACAGGAAAGTGTGGCTGATGAGATGGGCTCTAGTTTCCCCCACTGATTCCTTGGACCCCAACACAGCAGTGGGGGTAAAGTGGCCAATCCTGGCCACACAGGCCACTGTTCACTTGATTTTCAGATAAAATCTCTCCTTATTTTAAGAGGCTTCCTCTTTCAAGGGCTCCAGCTCTCCAGGATCACACTGGCTCAGTTCTCTGCTGCTCAGATTCCAGGGTAGTTCCCCAGTTTGCTGAGGACTCCCCTCGCTGGCTCTCCCCCCTGCTGCTGGAGCAGCATTCCTGCTCCGTGTCAATCCTCAACCCTCTTGTCTCCATCTAGTGTCCAAACCACATCGGGACTCTCTCCCAGCCCAGGGAGACCTGCAGCTTTCACAGCCTGCACTCACCGTGCCCACAAGGAGCTGATCAGGCTGGGACTGACACCAGCACTGTGTCAGTCCCTCCTGAGGTCTCAGTTGTCTCCTGTCCCCCCAGTTTTACCCCAGCTGGAGAAGAGCTGCTGGATTGCCTCAGTGGGAAGCACAGGGAGAGATCTGAGAGCTGGAGCGAATCACAGGATCCTCACTCACCTTCCAGGTTTTAATAACGTCAGGTTATTCTTGCTCCCTGTCAGGCCCAGAAATGAGCAGAAATTCCCCAGTGCAGGCTCCTGGCTGGCTCCAGCTCCACCTGCTGGAGTGGGCCAAGGCCCAATCCTGCTGCTGCTCAAGGTGCAATAAAATCATTTCTGGGACAGAATGATGCTCTTAACCTGGCTTGGTGTGTCCTTGGGTGAATGTGAGTGTTTCCCTTGGCATGGGAGTTACCAAACTCCAGGAACCTCAGCAGCTCTCACTGCAGCCTCCCTGTGAGCAGTGACTGCAAACCCCACACACCCATCCCATGCCCTTTATCCGCCTCCATACACACACAGCTGCTCTCTCCCACCTCAGCAAAGGAAATGGAGGAGTTCTGGAGATGCTCACATCACTCAGCAGCATCCCACAGATCCCAGATTTGTCTCGGAGCACTAACTTGGCGACACCGTGGCACTGCTGTGAGCACCTCACAGCCCTCAGCCACACAATTATGGATCTACTCAGCACCTCCTCACACCACAAGCTGCCAAAATCCCTGGGCAGATCCCTCTCTGTCACAAACCCCATCCAGCCTGGGGTCATCCTGCTGCCAGCAGGATGCAGGGCAGTGCTTTCCTCACCTCTGTGCTCGTCCTCCCTTGTCCTGCTTTGTCAGAGGAGTCCATAAGGTGTTGGTGGCACAAAGCAAGGACAGCAGGGAGACACCAAGGCACATCCTGTGCAGACAGGCAGAGGGAATGGAGCTCATTTCCTGGAGAAGGGAACCTTGGGGAGGGCCTCAGCAGCCTCTCAGTACCTGCAAAGAGGAGGCGGCTGTGAGGGCTGGGCCAAGGTTTGTGCTCCAGTGCAGAATGAGACAACAGATACAAACTCAAACTAGAAAGGCTCTGACTGGATAAAGGGAGAATTTTCACCCTGAGGATGGTGGAGCAGTGGGAAGGAGGCCAGAGAGGCTGTGCAGCCCCTATTCCTAAGGGTTTCTACCACCTTGGACGCACCTTGAGCAGGACAGACGGGATGTCCTGCATTCCTGCAGGCACGAGCACAGGTGGGATGGAGCAGGATGCCTCTCACATGCTCAGCAAAGGTCCCTGTCAGGGCCCTCAGACCCCACCTGCCCCAGCCAACCTCACCTGGGCCCCCACCCCAGCAGCACCCCCTGTTCTGGGAGCTGCATGGCCCTGCCTGTCCCCACGGAGCTGCACTGTCCCTACAATGTCCCTGTACCTGTGCCTGGACGGGCCCTGGACTGCACTGGGGACACTCCTGTCTCCTGCTGTTCCGACCTCCCGGCTGGATTTCCCAGAGAGCAGGAACCTCCTGACAGCCCCTGGACATCACGGGAAGCAGCTGCTCCCACCAAGGCTGTCCTGCTCTGGTGTCACGGGGGTGTGCCCTGAACCAGGACACCACTGCTCCCAGCACTGTGGTCACCTCAGGCTGCTGGCTTGTCTTCCAGCACGGAACAGCCCCATCCTTCATTTCCAGCCACGGAAAGGCCCAGGGTCCTCGTGGGCTTGGTTACAGGTCTCAGGCAGACTAAGGCTGTATGTACATCCAGAGGGACACCTGGCATCACTTCCAGGGGGGTCTGGCTGTGCAGCCACCTGCTGCCTTGGCATTCTTTGGCACCGGAGATCCGGACACGCTGTTGGACCGACCCCTCACCAGAGGGCCCTGGGGTGCAGCGGGGGTTGTTGGAGCGCTCCGGTTCTTCCACCTTTCTGTGCCGAGGCTGGAAGAAAGGTGAATCCTGTCCGGGGGGGTGCTCAGCCGGCTGACAGACTGGGAGCGTGCTCTGCCAGCAGCAGCCCAGCCTGCGGGGCAGGCATCGCCCCGGGGCTGCCTCCAGCCACTCCGGCTCTCCTTGCGGCCGGGCTCAGCCGCGGCCGGGGCAGCGGAGGCCGGAGGGTGCTCGGCTCGCAGGGGAGCGGCCCTGCAGCGCGGGGAGAGGCCGGGCTGGCTCCGGGGGGCAGGCGGGGGGCTCCAGAGCAGCGAGTGGAGCCTGGCCACATCCTCCTTCCTCATCCGCGGAGCTGCCCAGGCAGGGCCCTGGGGCTTGGCACCAAACAGGGACTCGTCACAGAAGGACGGAGCGTGGCTGCGGGACCTTGCAGGGCGACAAGCGGAGAAACGCGGGTTGGACACAGCGGGGCAAGGCACAGGGGGAGGCCAGGGTCTGGGCAGGGCAGCGAGGCGGAGCGAGCCCCGAGAGCCGGGGCAGCGCCCCGCGGCACGGCACGGCACGGCACGGCTCACTCCCGGGGGTCTGGGGGGGCTGTGGACACCCCCGGGGGTGGCAGTGGCAGGGAGGGCCAGCGGGAGGATGGAAGGGAAGGGAAGGGGAAGGGAAGGGGAAGGGAAGGGAAGGGAAGGGAACTGCGGCCCTGGTCTCCATGTGCCGGTGTCCACAGCACCGGTGTCCTTAGTGCCAGTGTCCCCAGTGCCCCTATTCCTGGTACGCGTGTCCCCAGTGCCAGTGTCCCCAGTGCCAGTGTCCCCAGCACCTGAGTCCCAACGCCGATGTCCTGAGTACCCGTGTCCCGGTACCCGTGTCCCAGTGCCAGTGTCCCCAATGCCAGTGTCCCCAGTCCCCACAGTCACCAGCAGTGCCTGCCCATGCCAGCAGTGCAGAGCTGCAGTGACCCTGACCCATCACCACAGTCACGTCCCCCACTGTCCCCAGGTGCCTGTGACCCCACTGCCTGCCTTCCCTACCACCGCCGAGGAGGACAATGGTGCCGAGGAGGATGCTGAGCTGGACACTCAGGCCATGGTGCGGGCCCAGAACCAGAAGAAGAAGAAATCCGGGGGCTTCCAGTCCATGGGTGCGTGTGAGGCACGGGACAGCTGTCCCTGGGGCAGGGACTGTCCCCTCCTGCCCATGCCCTCTCACTTGTCCCTGTTCCCCTAGGCCTCAGCTACCCTGTCTTCAAGGGCATCATGAAGAAGGGCTACAAGGTGCCCACGCCCATCCAGAGGAAGGTGAGCCTGGGGAGCGGTGGGTCCCTGTCCCAGGGGGTGGCAGTGGGACGGTGACGGTGACAGTGGTGTCCCACAGACCATCCCTGCCATCCTGCGTGGCCGGGACGTGGTGGCGATGGCCCGGACGGGCAGCGGGAAGACGGCCTGTTTCCTCATCCCCATGTTCGAGCGGCTGAAGGCGCCCAGCCAGGCCGGGGCACGCGCCCTCATCCTCTCGCCCACCCGGGAGCTGGCCCTGCAGACCCTCAAGTTCACCAAGGAGGTACAGGGGACATGGGGGCGAGTGGGAACAGTGGGGGCAATGGGTTCGGTTCTACATCCCACCAATATGTTTATTCCTCACCCTGCAGCTGGGCAAGTTCACTGGCTTGAAGACAGCCCTGATCCTGGGAGGAGACAAGTAAGCTGTCCCCGTGTCCCCTGCAATCCCTGCTTCCCTGAGTTTCCCCAAAACCTGGTGAGGGGCTGAGCTGCCCAGCGCCACCCCAGCCTCTCCCTTCTCTCACAGGATGGAGGACCAGTTTGCTGCCCTGCATGAGAACCCTGACATGTGAGTGGGGCACAGGGAGGGGACCCAGTGGGGGAATGGCCACCAGCCATATGGGGACATCCTGGTGTTTAGAGCTGGTGTGCCTGATGGGCATTCCTGGTGTTCCCTTGGAGCAGCTTGCTGTGGGACAACAGGGTCTCTATTGTATCGTCTTTGGGTTGGATTTGGGACCTGCTCCCAGGATGCTGTGGGGACACTGTCTCCCCCTTAGCCTGCACCTGTCACCACCTGTGTCCCCACAGAATCATAGCCACCCCTGGGCGCCTGGTGCACGTGGCAGTGGAGATGAAGCTGAAGCTGCACACGGTGGAGTACGTGGTGTTCGACGAGGCCGACAGGTCAGCAGGGCTGTCCCCAGGGCTGGCAGTGTCCCCACACGGGTGAGAGCCCCAGGGAGTGGCAGGGAGGGACCTGCCATGTCCCATGTCCCATCCCCCTCCCCTGCAGGCTCTTTGAGATGGGCTTTGCTGAGCAGCTCCAGGAGATCATCGCCCGGCTCCCGGACTGCCACCAGACCGTGCTGTTCTCCGCCACGCTGCCCAAGCTGCTCGTCGAGTTTGCCCGGGCTGGTGAGGACCTGGGCCAGGTGGCACTGGGGACGGGGACACGGCACAGCCCCACAGCCAGGCCGAGCCCAGCACTGGGAAAACCAAGCTGGATTAATGCTGGGCCAGGCGGGTGTCCCCAGCAGGACACCCTGTGAGTGACCCATGTCCTGTGTGCCACCACAGGCCTCACTGAGCCGATGCTGATCCGCCTGGATGTGGAGTCCAAGCTGAGTGAGCAGCTCAAGGTGAGATGGGGGAGTTCAAGACGGGCTTTGTGCCCCCTACCCCCTGCGAGCCACCTGCTGCCAAGGAGGGCACGAGGGTGGCAGTGGTGGCACAGGGCTGAGGGCTGCTCTCATGCTGCAGCTGGTGTTCTTCCACGTGCGCGGGGACGACAAACCGGCCGTGCTGCTCCACCTGCTCCGCAGCGTGGTGAAGCCCCAGGACCAGACAGTCGTCTTCGTGGCCACCAAGCACCACACGGAGTATCTGAGGGAGGTAAGTGGCATTTGGGGGTGCCCTCGTGGGGCCTGCAGCTGTGGCAGGTCCCTGCTGGAATCTCTCCCTCTGTTTCACTGGGTTGAAGGAGAAATCCCAGAATATGTGATCATGGAAGTGCTGCATCCATTCACCCCTCAGAGAGAGGAGGGAGCACAGTGGGATTTGGAGGTGTACTCTGGAGTCTCTGGCCCTGTCTCTCTGCTGAGGGCACATCCATGCAATCTCTTTTCCCCCTTTCCCAGCTGCTGACGGCACAGGGCATCCGCTGCACCCACATCTACAGCTCTCTGGACCAGACTGCCCGCAAGATCAACATTGCCAAGTTCTCCCAGGGCAAGTGCCCAGTGCTGCTGGTCACCGACGTGGCTGCCCGGGGCCTGGACATCCCCATGCTGGACAATGTCATCAACTTCAGCTTCCCTGCCAAGGGCAAGCTGTTCCTGCATCGTGTCGGTGGGTGCCAGTGCCCACCTGTGTTGTGGTATTGAGGGACAGACTGGGAACAAAGCAGTGTCAGTGTCCCTGATGTCCCAGCTGGACTGTGAGGACTCTTGGGGGCAGGACTGGCTCTTGGGGGCAGCCCTACCTTCACTGTAGGGCTTCTCCTTGCCCCTTCCCCAGCCACCCAAAGCCCCTTGCCAGCCATGCCTTCATGGTAAATGTCATATGTGTAGACTGCCAGGGACACCAGGGATCCCTTGCCTGGGTGGGGCCAGGCTAGGCATGGTTTCCCATTCTCCTCTTGCCCGTGCCAGGTCGTGTGGCCCGAGCTGGCCGGAGTGGCACTGCCTACTCGCTGGTGGCTCCTGATGAGATGCCCTACGTGTTCGACCTCCACCTCTTCCTGGGGCGCCCGCTCGTCCTCGCCGGAGCCCAGGAGATGCCTGCAGGTGAGGGGTGGCTGTGTGGCCTCTGGGGTGTTCTGCTTGGCCAGTGCTGGAGTTTGTGCTCTTGTGGTGGGCCCTCACACAGATGGGGAAAATGGGGTGTTGGGGGCTGTGATACACCCTGTGTGTGTGGGATGCTGATTGAACAGCTCCATGGAGCTGTCAGCTCTGCTCTGAGAAATGCAGGGTGGGTGCTGGGAGGTGACACGGTGTGCCCTGGGCTGCAGATGCTGGCGGGGTCCTGGGCCGTGTCCCCCAGAGCCTGGTGGATGACGAGGAGTGCCTGCTGCTGACGGACCACGAGGGCTCTCTGGAGCTGCGCAGCCTCCGCCGCGTCGCCGACAACGCCCACAAGCAGTACCTGCGCTCCCGGCCCGGCCCCTCGCCAGAGTCCATCAAGAGGGCCAAGGACCTGGATGTGTCCCAGCTGGGCATGCACCCCCTCTTCAGTGAGTGCTGGGGGCATGCCAAGGGAGGGGACCCCACTGCCCTCCCGAGGAAACTGATCTGTGCCCCTCTCCCTGCCTGCCTTCCCCAGGAGCTCGCTTCGAAGACACCGAGCTGCAGAGGCTGAAGTTGGTGGATAGCATTAAAACCTACAAGTCCAAGGCGGTGAGTTGAGATAATGGGATGGGGATGGGATGGGATGGGATGGCCACGTGGCTCACTGGGAATGATGCTCCTGCCCTGGGGACAGACCATCTTTGAGATCAACGCCACGTCCCGGACAGCGGCCAGCACCGTGATGCGATCGAAGCGGCGCCACGACCGTGCCCTGATCGAGAAGTTCCAGCGTGGGCAGCAGGAGAAGCGGGCAGCAGCACTTAAAGGGCAGGGGAAGTGCCCGGCCCCTCCCGAGCCCCAGGAAGGGGAAGGAGAGCAGGAAGACCTCCAGGTAATTGGGTCATGGATGCAGGAACTGCTGCAGAGCTGCCTTGGCCTGGTGCTGGCAGCACCAGGGCCCCCAGATTGTGCTGGGGTTTGGGGATCGGTGCAGAGACTTGTGGGAATACTGGGGGGACATGGCTCCTGAACCCCTCCACTGTCCCCGTCCAGGATGTGTTCTCTAATGTGGGGGGCCAGAAGCGAAAGCGGGGCCGAGGAGGAGAAGATGGTCCCAGGAAAAAGCCACAGCAGCCGGCACAGCAGGCTGAGGACTTCTACATCCCATACCGGCCCAAGGACTTTGAGAGTGAGCGGGGGTAAGTCTGGGGGGGCTCCTGCTGCTGTCCCCTCCCAGCCTGTGTGGAGCTGCTCTCATCACCCCCCCTGGCAGGCTGAGCGTGGGCGGCGACGGCAGCGCCTTCGAGCAGCAGGCGGCCGGGGCCGTGCTGGATCTCATGGGCGACGAGAACCACAACCTCAACAAGAACAAGCAGCTCCTCAAGTGGTGAGTGGGCTTTGCCCATGGGCTGGAGGGAGAACTAGGGCTGGGGTGGCACTGCTCGGTCCCACCACCTTTCTGTCTCTGGCAGGGACCGCAAGAAGAAGCGGTTTGTGGGGCAGACAGGCCAGGAGGACAAGAAGAAGGTGCGGACGGAGAGCGGGCGCTACATCAGCAGCTCCTACAAAAACAACCTGTATCCTGCCATGGGCACTGCTGCCCACCTGGGCTGGGCACTGCGGGAGCAGGGCTGGACCTGCGTGTCAGGGCTCCATCCCCTGCCAGGGCAGCAGCCAGGGGAGGGAGCACAGTCTGGTAACTACAGCACAGGGTCAAGCGAGGAGTCCCCACATGTTCCCTTAACACGCCCATCCCAGCTATGAGAAGTGGAAGCAGAAGTACAAGGTTGACGAGCGGGATGAGGATGAGGAAGGGCCGCGCAGCAGGGAGCAGTTCAGAGGGAAGCACAGGCGTGGGCACGGTGAGTTCCTGAAGCCACAGAGCCCTGCGCTGCTCCCCTGAGCCTGGCTCTGAGCACAGCCATGTCCCCTGCAGGCACAGGCCCCGCGCAGCCCCCGGCGCAGGGCAGGGTGCGCTCGGAGCTGAAGAACAAGCAGCAGATCCTGAAGCAGCGCAAGAAGGCGGCCAAGCAGCGCTTCCTGCAGAGCGGGGGCCTGAAGCGCCTCAAGGCCCGCAACCGGCAGCGCGTGCAGGAGCTGCGGCAGATGGCCTTCGGGCGCCGCGCCGGCGCCGCCAGGAAGGGCAAGCTCAGGAAGAGGATGTAGGGCACGCGTCCCCTCCGCCGGGGCTGGGAGCTGGGGAAGGGGACAGTAAATATCGGTTGGTTTTGCATCCCAGCTTCTCTCTGTCTTTGCTCCAAGCATCGTGCTTGGGGTAATTCTATCCCTAGAGACGCAAGAATAAGCATATGCTGCAAGAATGAGCATGCAGCTGCACAGCTGGATGTATTTTGGCGTGAAACACCTTCAGAGATGCCAACAGCAGCTCCCTCCTCCTCGTCCTCCAGCCTGGGGTGCTCTGTGCAGGAGGGAACCTTGGGAGTGCCCTGGCCCTGCCTGGGTGTGGTGCCACTGCCGTCCATGTTGCTTCTAGACTTGCAGTGAATTACCTCCATCCACAGGGGTCCTGTGGCTCCATGCTGGCCCTGGCAGCCCCACCCCAGCCCCAGGAGCAGGCAGGTGTCCCCAGGGGCTATTCCTGGCCCCGAAGCAGCCTGGCACTCCTGTGGTGCTGTGGGTGTGTGCCAGTGGCACAGATGTCAGCCAGGGCCTGCATGCAGAGCAGCACCTGTGGAGATGGGAGCCTGATGCCACAGCCATCCAGGGATGCAAGTGCCTCTGTGTGGCCCCAGCCCCACTGTCCTGGGGAGAGGGTTGTGCTGACCATGTCCAACTGGGCCTTCGTGTCCTCCTGGGCTTTGTCCATGGGGATCCTGAGTTGTGCCGTGGTTTGCTGGAAGAGGTTCAGCACAGCCAGCTTGATCTGCCCCAGCAGGAGGGTCTTCTGGATGGCTGTGCTCTGGATGTGGGTCCAGCAGGACTCCTGGGGGACAGAGTGAGCCTCTGGCCACTGTCCCGTGTCCTTCTGTGCCCCCCAAGGCCAGGCTTGGGGGGCCCAGGAGTCCTGGCTGTGTATCCTCCCCATGCAGAGCTGCTGATTTTTTGGGCAAGTGGGGACCCTCAGCTCAGCCCAGAAGCGTGCAGCCCAATTTGGCACCACCACCACAGTGGGCATCTCCCTTGTGCAGCACACCTGGGGTCTGTACTGCTGCCCCTCTCCCTGGGGGTCCCTGGGCACCCCACACCTCCCTTACCCACTGGAGCACGTCTTGGCGGGCAGCCTGCAGGCGTGCATGGAGCCGGGCCAGCTCGTTCCTGGTGCCCAGGAGCTGGGTGCTGGTGTCCTGACGGTACCGCTGGAGCTGTGCCCTGCCCTGGGCCAGCTGCTCCTGCCCGGCTTCTGCCTCCCGTGCCAGGGCTGCCCGCACCCCCGCCAGCACCCCGAAATGCACCAGCATGGCCGGCACGTCCTGGAACTGGGCGGTGAGAGGCGGCTGAGGCAGGGCTGGAGGGATGACCGCTCCAAGGGGCTTGGGGACACGCGGGGTGGCACGGCAGGAGCTCACCTGCCCCACGCTGGCCAGCGCGTCCCGCAGGTAGTCCCCGAAGGGCCGGAGGCTCCGCAGGCGCCGGGCCAGGCGCTCCCGGTGCCGCAGCAGCCGCTCCCGCTCCCGCTCCCGCCGGGCCGCCTCCGCCTGCGCCGCGGGCAGCGGGTCAGCGGGCACCCTCCGCCCGGCCCGGCCCGGCCCCCGCCACGCACCTTCAGGAAGGAGTCGAATCTGAGCACGGCGTCGCGGTGCTGCTCTTGCCTCCGGGCCAGCTGCTGCCGGCACTGCGCCAGGCGCTGCATCCGCTGCTGGAACTCCTGCGGGATGGAGGGTGCCGAGAGGAATGCCCACGCTCGGGCACAGCCGAGGGTGGCAGCCCGTGGGGAGTGGGGACGCGCCTGCCAGCCCCTTGTCCCCGCGGCAGGGGACGCTGGGTTGGCCCTCACCTGCCGCTGGTCCCGCAGCTGCCGCTCCACGTCCGCCACCTCCCGCCGCTTCAGGAGCACACGGCTGGACAGCGGCAGCGTGGCCGGGCCCCGCACTGCCGCCCTGCTGCCACGGGCTGCGCGCAGCTCGGCCGGGCTGCGGAGGGAAAGCCTGGGCAGGGCGTCTGCCACCGTGCCTCGGGCAGGGCTGCCACGGGCAGGGCTGCCACGGGCCACCGCTGTCCGCGGGCTCGGCGCGGGGAGCCTGGCCCGCTCCCCCGTGGGTGCAGGGGCTGTCAGGAGCTGCACAGGCTTAGCCCTGCCTGCATTCATGTTCTTGCTCGCCCTCGCTCCTGCCCACCCCTCCCACTTCAGCCTACCCTACTTGGAGCCACCCAGCACCGCGGTTCCCCAGGGAAGGACAAGTCACACCACAATCTCAGCTTTCTTCTTAGAACCCGGGGAATGCCCCTGCCTGCCCCCAGCCCACGGCTGCAGTGTCCTCTCCTCCCTGGAAGCCTCAGCTGGGGACGCTGCCCCCACCCAGTGGCACCCACCCTGGCAGTGGCACCCGGAGATGGGAGCACAAACCGAGATCACGGGGCACGCAGGACATGCTGGCCTGGTTGCAGGCTCTTTGGTCACCTGCCACGGGGAGGGCAGAGGGGCATCACTCACAGCAGCCGAAGCTTGTCCCGCAAAGCCTCTCGCAACCGCTCCTCCAGCTCCGAGTCCATCTCAGCGGTGCCTCCTCCTCGCCCAGGGGCCTGCGGAGGAGCTGGGACCGGGACAGCCGAGGTGGTGGCAGCACAACAGAGTTGCCAGGGGCAGCCAGAGGCTCCCGCAGCTCCCTGGGATTTTCCTGGCTGGCTCCCAGCGCCGCCGCAGCGAGGGCATGGTGCTGGGCATAGGGAATGAATGCACCAGGCTGTTTGCAGGGAGGCTCCACTCTTGGCCCCTCAAACCATCTCATCCTTCCACCACACTCCATTCCCTCCAGCCCTCAGGATCCTCTGTTCAGGCTCCATGACCCTTCAGAACCCTCTGTGCACAGCCCGACCCCAAGCACCATCCCCACCCCTCCCTGTCCCTCTCAGCCTGCTCCAGCTCCCACTGTTCTGACACCCCAGGGATGGCTCAGACCCCCTGACTTCACCCACAGCATAGACCCTGCCTCTCTCTGCGTGTCCCAGGAGTGCTTCCCTTCTTGCACAGGCCATCAGATCCCCTGTGAGCTGTCAGGTTCCCTTTGTCCCCCCATATGTGTGCTCATGTCCCCATTACCCTACACGCACACTTGACAAGGAATAGATTAACTCCTGACTTGAACACAGAGCAACACTGCAGAAGGAATAGGGGGAAAATATTTATAATACAAACAATTCAGCCTTCCCAGAGTCAGTGTCAGCCGTGTCCTGCCCACACAGCCCTTGTTTCTTCCCTCGCCCCAGGACCACTGTGGCCCTCTGGTGACTTTGTCCATCCCAGACTGAGCCAGAATCCCACACGTGAATTCAAGTCCATCACAGGCATCAAAGTGAGGAGGTGTTCTGCCTGTGCTGGGTGCCACCTTGTTTTAGGGACACCCAAGACAAGGGAGAAAATGGAAGAGAGAAGAAATGGAGAAACACAGCTGGAGAAGGAAGGAATGAAACTGTGGAAAGGGCAGGTGGAGAGAGAGGTGCCTGAAGTGTCCTGGGACTGACAGCCTGTGCTCAGCCACACACAATGAGGGCCTGCTTGATGCTGGATTCCAGCTGGAGCTCCGTGTGCTTCCTCAAGGAGGGACAGAAGCTATGAGCCTCATGTCTCTTCTCTCACATCCTGTGCAGAGACCTCACTGTGCAGCTCGTCATCATCACCTACACAGGGCACAGAGCAGCAGCATCTCAGCCACAACAGCCATCAAGAATTCCTCCCTCCCTGGCAGCTGCTCTGGAAGAGCCAGAGCTCAGCAGGGAGCAGGTGGCTCCTCACCTTCTGTGAGGTGGTTCAGGAGAGCAGCCTCGACCCTGCTCCCACCGACCAGCGCCATGGCCTCGTGCTCAGTGCAGCTGCTCAGGCCTTCCTCAGACCCCTTCCCCTCCTCGTCATCTTCAGAGTCCACCAGCACTAGGACATCCCCTGAGTCTGCATTCCTGGGAACAGCAGAGCAAGCTGGATGAGGGGCTGAGGAGAGCCTGCTCCCAGCCCTGCAGGAAGGCTGAGTAGTGATGCCATGAGGGACTGGGCTGAGCAATGTCAACTCACCTGAATGCAGCACCTGAATGGGAGAGAAGAGACAGAATTAGAAACTGCCCCTCTGGGAGTGCCACTGGTTTTACTGGAGTGGACAACCCCTGCCAATCCTGCCACCACATCTGTGCCTCCCCCAGACAGTCACTGGCAGCCCCAAGCAGAGGCACAGACAGGGAGGTGACCTGCCCAGACACAGCACAGGCAACCCTGACTGAGTCCAGCACACGGGGAGGGACAAGCAGGTCAGGGATAAAGCCCCAGGAAGGAGGAACCAGCCCTACCTCTGAGGCACAGGAGGGGATTGTAGTATAACAGAACCCCGGTGACAGTGAGAACAGTCAGGAGGGACAGCACCACCACGGCACCCACGACCCCAACGATGTTCACCGGCTCTGCGGAGAGGGGACACAGATGGATGAGGAACTCTCGGGTGTGCAGTGTCCCCAGGCCCTCCTGCCTCGGCCCCACTCACGCTTCACCGTGAGGCAGACGAAGAGCTCCCGCAGCCCCACGGGGTTCTGCGCCTTGCAGACGTAGCAGCCGCCGTCAGTGCCCTGGGAGCAGTTCTGGATGGTGAGCCGGGACACGTTGCCCTCCTGGGCGATGAGGAACCTCCCCCCAGGCTGGATCTCCTCCTCGGGCCGGGAGATGTCCCGCAGCCAGCTGAGCCGGGCTGCCGGCGTGCTCTCGGTCACCCGGCAGGTCAGGGTCACATTGTCACCCACAAAGCAGGTCTGCGGGGGCTCAGATTCCAGGGAAGGGAGCTCTGAACAGCCCCGGGGGAAAAGGAAACAAAAACAGGAGTCAAGGAGGGAATGGAGGCAATTAACATAACGAGCAATCAAGCTTCTGGCTGATTAATAATCATTAACAGAAGGGAGGCAGGCAGGAGTCTGGGAGTCTATGGGTTTGGCATTTGGCTCACTCCAGAGCCTCCCAAGGAGTGACCTGAGCAGCTTTCGTGGTGCTCAGTCCCTTCTGACACCTGTCTTCACATCCCCAGGGAGAAATGGTCTGAGGGTAGCCAGCAGGTAGATGGCAGAGAGGAGAAGAGCAGCCCAGGCATTATTTTCCTTGAGATCAGCAGAGCTTTTGTAAAGCCTTGACAACCCTTGGAGGATAATCACAGCCCAGATTTTCATCAGCCACTCGGATCCCTGAGATGCCTGAAGGGCACACACAACCCTTAAACCCACCCTTACCAAACCTCATTTCAGGCTCTCTACAGCCCCCAAACCACCTCTCACTTTCACACAGGTGTGTGGGAGCTTTCCACAGGTGAAAACACTGCTGGGGTGAAATTTGTTGGCCCAAAACACAGCTCACCTACAACTCTGCCATGATGGAGCTCAGCTGCAGGACACCTGTGCCTTGTGCTTCACGTGTGCCCTGCCATGTCACCTCCTGCCTTCCCTGACCTCCTCAGTGCTCTGGAGAGCAGGGAGTGACCTGCCCCCAGTTCATCAGCTTCATTAGCAGTTAATGAGGCAGCAAATCCACTCACTTATCTCCACAGTGCAGGCAGGCTGCTCCTGCTTCACCACGTGGCTGCCCACACACTTGAAGACTTTTCGGTGGGCGAGGTGGGAGCTGTTCAGCGTCTCCACGTGGGTGTCTGAGGAGCTGGTGGAGCTGATGACCCAGCTGGAGTTCTCCAAATCCTGCCCCTCTTCTCTCCAGTGCAGGGTGGGGTGGGGGTACCCTCCAGGCCAGCTGCAGAACAGCTGCAGCATCAGCCCTGACGAGGAGCTCTCAGCCCAGCACTTTGGGGTTGCCTGTGGTGGATCTGTCAGCAAGGACAGCACGTGGTCAGAAACACTTGCAGGGCTGCAATTCATTTGTCATCATTCCCCTTGAAAAATCTTTCCTGTTTCCCTGCCAGTCTTGCTCCCTGACCTGCATCCCACAGCCCCAGATGTGCACAGCTGTAAGTGACAGCCAGCAGGGACCAGGAGGGGCTGTGACAGTCCCCACAGCCAAGCCTTGAGGGAGAGAATAAATTATTGCCACAGCTTTATCCAATGGAAATGAGATAAACACAGCAGGAGAAGGAAATCCCACTGCCCTGGTCCTCATGGCACAGCTACCACTGAGTCATCACTTGAGAGCAAGGCACAGTCCTGGCTCTCTCCCAGCTGCTCCTTCCACACGCAGATCCACACACGTGCTGGTTTAACAGCCAGAGGGATTCTGGACTCTGATCCAGCCAGAATTAACACACTGTGCCCAATGCAATGCTGAACAAGACCCCACCAAGAGATCAAACCAAAACAAGCCCACACCAGAGGTGTCAGAGGGATGTCTGAGGCTTATTTTGGGGAGCATTTATTCAGAGGGCATTGAAATTACTTGAATTAATAAAAAAAACACCATGGCAAACCCTCATGTGAGCTGAAAGAACACACCTTCCTGGGGCTTGTTCTCTGCAGGAACTGTACACACACCTCAGGTGATCTTTGAAACCACCCAGCTCTGGCAAGAAAGTTCTCTGCAACACTCCCTGTGTGCCACCTCTGGGGAGGATCAAACTGATCCCAAACCCTGACTGTGGTTAATAGGGCATCCTGTCAGCCTGAACCAGCAGAAACTGCCCCACATCAATGGGGCACAGCCCCTCCAGGATGTCCAGGTGGACAAAGCCCCTCCAGGACGTCCAGGTGGACACAGCCCCTCCAGGACGTCCAGCCAGAGCTGCACTTTCTGTGCTGACCTCAGGAACAGTCTCCTGAAGCCATCAGCTTTGCATCCTGAACTCCCAGGCTCTCCCAGCACAACCGTCTAAAGAAATTTGCTCCCACAAAGTTAACAAACCAAAAGCCTAAAAATCTCCACCCTCCCAACCTCACACAACACCAGCAAAAAGGACCTGCTGTGGTTTGACCCACAGAAGAGCCAACAACTCTTGCATCAACCCACACAGAGATGTGCCAAGGAATCCCTGGAGGTGTGGAACTGCACGTCTCCTTCACAGGTGCTTCCCATCCAAAACAAACACAGAACCACAGCCCAAGGCAGGGCTGCACCTTTGTCCTGTCACTAGAATGTTTACTGCTTGTGGGGTTTCCAAAGTGCACTTTGAAACAAAAAGAGAATTTTTGGTGCCACCCGTGGGATGGGCTGAAGACTGTCAGCTGGTTATTCCCACACAAAACCTCTACATGTCCTGGGGGGCTCTTCCACAGCAGTGCCAAGTCTGTGTCCAAAGTTTGCTCCAGGCCAGGGTAAGATTCCACCAACAGGGATTGTGAAAAAATGGGGTCCTTCTACAGGTCAGGGGTTAAACTTCTAACTTAAACTTCTAACTTTTGCTGATGCTCCTCCTGCTGAGCTGAAGAATCTCCAGAAATCTCCTTCTCACCTATCAAAGGCTATGCCCACATCACCTTTGTTGTACTTGGAAATTAGCTGACACAATTAACTCCAGACTACTAAATTAAGTCCAGAATGTAGCACCATCACTTGGCACCCTGTAAATATGTTTTGCTCCTGAGTGTTCTGCCCCAGTGCTCCAGATCTGGGGCTCCCCACTCCTCAGCCCAGTGCCTACATATCTATTCCCTGAAGCAGTCTGGGGTTCAATTCCACACCTCAGCTGCCCGCTCCTTGCTGCAGGAAGAGAATTTTTATTCCTGTAAACTTTCAAGAGGTTAATCTGTACAGAACAGGTGCAGTGTTTACACACAAGTAGAAGGAAGGAACACCCTGAAGGCAAACAGGTCACACACATGGGAAGAGCAG